TAAAGAAAAATTAGAAGAGAAAACAAATATAAATGAATGGGGTGAGAATGTCCAGAACAGGCCTGGCACAGTAGCTCATGCCTGTAATTCCAGCACTCAGGGAAGCTTAAGTGGGAGGATTGCTTGAGCTCAGGAGTTTGGGCAAGAGTGAGACCCTATCTGTATCAAAAATATAAAAATTAGCTGGGCTTGGTGGTACATGCCTGTAGTCCTAGCTATTCAGGAGGCTGAGGCAGGAGGACTGCTTGAGCCCAGAAGTTTGAGGTTGTAGTGATCTATGACACTACTGCACATTAACTTGGGTGACAGAGAAAGACTCTGTCCCCTCCCTAAAAAAAGAATGTGCAGAAAAAAAAAGGGTTTTGTAAGAAAAAGAAGTCAGGTCTTAAAGATATAATTTAGAATGTAGTTGCATGAAAAAGTCTCTAAAGGAGACCTTACTTAGTTCACTGTTCTCTGCCCCATTTAAACCTAAATAAAGAAAAATATGTGTGGGTGGAGTAGGGTGCCGGCCCCATATACTGGAGGTGGTAGGTTCAAACCTGGGCCTGGCCAAAAATTGCAAAAAAAAAAAAAAAAAAAAAGCTAACATAATGTACCTTCCATAAGCAAGATGCAGCTTAAAATATAATCTTAAATATTTTCTGACTCAATAAAGCTCAGCAATATACATGTATGGATTAATATTCACAAAGTATTCAATCATGAAATAAGCCAAGAATAGAAAGGGAGTAATTATGCAGGGCAATGCATACTATTTAAAGGATACAGTTGAACTTCTGTATCTTTTCAAGTTCCGAAGCAACAGACCTGTGCGTAAAAAAAGAAAAAAAGTTCATGTAGTTGTCTGGTTCTTTTATATTCATGAAATTTCAAATAAGCATACTTGACTTTCTTTTCATAAAGGTTAGAATTTTAAACCTGTAATCCCAGCACTCTGAGAGGCCGAGGCAGGTAGACTACCTGAGTTCACAAGTTGGAGACCAGCCTGAGTAAGAGCAAGACCCCATCTCTAAAAATATTTGGGTATTGTAGTGAGTGCCTGTAGTCCCAGCTACCTGGAAGGCTGAGGCAAAAGAATCACCTGAGTGCAACAGTTTGGGGTTGCTATGAGCTATGATGCCACAGCACTCACCCAAAGGCAACAAAGTGAGACTGTGTCTCAAAAAAAAACCCCAAAACTTAGAAAAATTCTCTTTATGTTAGCTTTATTTAGCACCAAATCAATATGATGCAACTGATATTTGTTGAGTTTTCTTTTTTTTTTTAAGAGACAGAGTCTCACTTTGTCACCCTTGGTAGAGTGCTGTGACATCACAGCTCACAGCAACTTCCAGCTCTTGGTCTTAGGTGATTCTCTTACCTCAGCCTCCGGAAGAGCTGGGACTACAGGCACCCGTCACAATGCCAGGCTATTTTTTTGTTGCACTTTGACCAGGGCCAGGTCTGAACCCACCACCCTTGGTATTTGGGGCCGGCGCCTACCCACTGAGCCATAGGCACCACCCCTGTTGAGTACTTTTATTAGCAAGTGAATTCAAGTCCCCACCTTAAGGACTTTGTAATATTGTTGTTTGAAGGTAATGGGCCTTTCTGCTACTTCTTAGTACTAACCTGGCATACACTCTACTTGACTCCTCCTTAAACTTTAAAAACCTACCAAAATCTTATCCCTTCTCTGAATAAGGATGTTATTCCTTGAATTCACATAAGCATTATGAATGCTTATATATACTATTTGTAATGCCTTCTCTTGAGCTATTTAACTTTCTGATATTCCTACCTATACTGTGTTTCTCAGAAGAAAGGATCTTATTTTTTCATACTTTGCACATATATTAAGACCTCATTTATATGGAACTCTTAAGGAATGGATAGTTTAGAAGATTCAAGTTTTTTACATAGTTGAATTAGGTGTTAAAACATAACTATTTTTTATTAAATTCCTTCTGGAATAGACTACCTATTCATTTCATTGTTTCTTTAAGCATAAAGGGTTAGCACGATGAACATTAACTCTTAACCATGTTCTATAGAACAAGATATTGGGGCAACTGGTATGGGACAGAAGGCTGAATGCAAACAACTCCAGCAGAACCCCTTACGTGTGTTCTTTGTCCTTTTTCTCGTCAAGCTAGAATGAGATAATGAGCAGTGGCCTACAGCTACAACTAGTGTAATCTGACTAGCTCTCAAAATTAATGTGGATGTTCATCTAAAACATCTTTTTATTCACGTCACTGGAAAAGTCTTCACAGTTCATAATAGGGTATGTTACTTGTCTTTTTTATTGGCTTCCCTAAAATGGACCACATGTGCTGCCTTATTAGCTTGCATTGTTTTCCCTGTACTCCAGCCTATGGATGGAAAATGAAAGAGGTATTTTATGATTTTAACCATCTGTGGTAAAGAACTTAGCTATGACTTAACTCTATGCCTACTGATTCTTCATCATTACAAAAACAACTTTTTTCTCCTTTTTTACATGAGACACGTTTTTGTACAGAATATCTTCTGTACTATTTTTGAACTAACATTCCTATTAAAAAGTTAAGTCAGGCTGGGCACGGTGGCTTGTGAGCAAAAGTGAGACCTCAACTCTACTAAAAATAGAAAAACTAGCTGGATGTTGGAGCAGGCACCTGTAGTCCCAGCTACTCAGGAGGCTGAGGCAGGAGGATCTCTTGAGCCTAAGAGTTTGAGGTTGCTATAAGCTATAATCCATTCTACCCACAGCAACAGAATAAGACTCTGCCTCAAAAACCAAACTAAAATAAATAAAAAGTTGAATCAGTAAGTTAATGGAAGGTGAGATGAGAAAAAAACACTGAAATACAATTTAGGTAGCTTTTTATTGTACAATCTCTTCCTTCAACCTATCTTCTTTGAGAAGAAAACTAATCAGAGTAAAAATGCCCAGGCTTTGCAAGGGGAATGGAGCTATTACTCCTCAGTTCCTTTAGTTTGTCTCTCTGTCGCTCCTAATTGCTTCCACTGTAGCTGCTATCACCAACCTATTCTTTCACTTTTTAGTCTGTCTTGAAAGTTATCCTCTTCTCAGCTTTCATATAAAAAGCCTGGCATTTTACTAACTTTGCCAGCGGAACAATGGTGAAGTGACCAAGTTTTTTAAAGCCACATACAATTTCCCTTTTCTCCCAAATGTTTTCCGCTAGCTACTTAAGCAAATTTTCTGCTCCCAAACAGACTGAGGGATAAAGGAAGCTGGATTCTTTGATACCTGTGATATTTCAAATTTGATTTGATTTGGTCTAAGAAATAACAGGAAAAGGTGATAAAAATCAGGCTTAATGTTTACACTACACGTTGCTATACCACCTCACAACGTACTTTAAAAGCTTTCTAAATTCTTCCTGTTATCCTTCTCTCCCAACATATATGTAGGCTATAATTGCAATGATACTAATCTTCCTAATGACATTTTTCCTATAATCGCATCAAGTCTGAACTCTATTACAATATACATTTCTATCCATCAAACGTCACACTATACCCTAACAGATAGCAACCGCTCCATAAAAACTATCTTCTTAGCATCTCCACAGGCCAAAATACCCTTTTTAATTCTGTCCTTGCTTCTCCCCTAAAACATCTTATTTTCCCAAAATATTCCTTTCAAGTCCAGTTTAAGTACCTTGCACACCAAAAACATATAAGGACTAAAATACTTGCTTTATTTGTTGATTTGCCAATTAATTTGAAGGAGATAACTAAAATGATAGAAATTATTCTTAAAAACCAACTTTTTTTCTTTTTTTGAGACAGTCTCACTCTGTCGCCCTGGATAGAGTGCCCTGGCATCATAGCTCACAGCAACCTCAGCCTCTCGGGTTCAAGTGATCCTCTAGCCTCAGCCTCCCCAGTAGCTGGAACTGGAGACATCAACCACAACAACTGGCTATTTTTTTTTTTTTTTT